TGATCCAATGGACATAAAGGCAAGGTAGCATTTTTGTAATAAAACCCAACTTTTTAGAGTGCAACTCGTTGCACCTTAATGTGCAACTGTTATTTTTATGACTTTATAATGTGCAATACTTTGAACCTCAATATGCAATGCAAATTATATATATATATATATATATATATATATATATATATATATATATATATATAGAGAGAGGAATGATCTTGTCCAGCCGGAGAAACAGGATCTTCCGGCCGGCCGCCGCCGTTTGGGGCGGTTCCCGGTGGAGTTTTTTGATGAAATTTTTATGGAATGTTCCTCATCAAGTCTAGTTTATCCACAAAAAATTTCAGCTAAAAATTCGATCGGGAAGGCAGCCAAATAATTTTTTGAAGATTACTGCTCCAACTTAAACATATAAAACACAGTTATGTTTCAAAAAATTATTTGACTGCCTTCCCGATCGAATTTTTAGCTGAAATGTTTTGTGGATAAACTAGACTTGATGAGGAACATTCCATAAAAATTTCATCAGAAAACTCGACCGGGAACCGCCCCAAACGGCGGCGGCCGGACGGAAGATCCTGTCCCTCCGGCTGGACAGGATCTTTTCCGTATATATATATATATATACAGAAAAGATCAGGTCCCTCCGGAGGGACGGGAGGGACCGTCCGAACTTTACTGTTTGGGGAGGTTCCCGGTGGAATTTTTTGATGAAATTTTTTGAGCATGTTCCTCATCAAGTCTAGTTTGTCCATACCAAATTTCAGCTCAAAATTCGACCGAGAAGGCAGTCAAATAAATTCTTGAAGCTTACTGCACATTCTGCGCATATATAAAGTGCAGTAAGTTTCAAGAATTTATTTGACTGCCTTCCCGATCGAATTTTGAGCTGAAATTTGGTATGGACAAACTAGACTTGATGAGGAACATGCTCAAAATATTTCATCGAAAAATTCCACCGGGAATCGCCCCAAACAGTAAAGTTCGGACGGCTGCTCCCGTCCCTCCGGCTGGACCTGAGCAGTCCTCTATATATATATATATAGAGAGAGAGAGAGAGAGAGAGAGTAATTATCCGGTCAGGAGTTCCTGACCGGAACCGCCGTCCGGACCGCGGCGTTTGGCCGCCTTCCCGGTGGCTTTTTTTTTATGAAATTTTTATGACATGTTCTCCATCAAGTCTAGTTTATCCACAAAACAATTCAGCCAAAAACGCAATCGGGAAGGTCGTCAAATGATTTTTGCAAGTTAACTGGTCCGGAAAATACATATTCTGGACCAGTTAACTTGCAAAAATTATTTGACGACCTTCCCGATTGGGTTTTTGGCTGAATATTTTTGTGGATAAACTAGACTTGATGGATAACATGTGATAAAAATGTCATCAAAAAATTCCACTCCGAAGGCGGCCAAACGCCGCGGTCCGGACGGCGGTTTTGGTCAGGAACTCCTGACTTGAACATTTGTGTGTGTGTGTGTGTGTATATGTGTGTGTGTGTGTGTAGAATAGAGATCAAATACAAACCATGCTTAATTTACAAAGTACAAACTTATCTTGGCCATCCGATGAGTTGATCTAAAGGATATAAAGGCAAGGTGGCATTTTTGTAATAAAACCTAACTTTTCTAGGGTGCAACTCGTTGAACGTTAATGTGCAACTACTATTTTATGACTATATAATATGCAACACTTTGAACCTCAATATGCAATGCAAATAACGTCAAGGTGCATCGTACAAACATTTGCACAATAAGCACAGTTTGTACTTGATCTTTCCCCTATATATGTATATGTGTGTGTGTGTGTGTGTGTCATCCTTTAGATATATATTTAAAAAATTAAATGAAATAGTGTGAAAGAAAGTGAAAAAAAAAAGTTAAAAAAATAGAATAAATATAAATAAACTAAAAATATGAATCTAATAAATAAAACACAATCTGGATAGCATTTTAGTAATACATAGAGACTAGTGTAACACCCGGGGCATGCCCCGGGTAGCGTCACTTTGATAAGTATTAAAATGATAAACATTAATAGAAGTTGATAATTTTTACTCAATCGTGTAAAATACGATGACATTTGTTAGTAAAAAGGAATTTGTGTGCTATTATGATTTATAGTGGTTTTGAAAGCAAATGCAACTATAAATTTGTTGAGTATTACGGAGTATTCATAAGCATTTAATTAAATTTAAACTTTTATGTTGTACACAGTATTTGTTATTGTATTGCATGCATCCTTCTCATCCACTCCACAAAATATTAAACCATTTCTAATCCATGGAGTCTACTTAATTAATTTGCTTCGTAATATAAATATAGAGTTGTGAGAACTTTGATGTATTAAAATCCATTGATGGTAAACTACCCATCAATTATAATTTTGACCATGCATTCGATATACATATGACCCTCTAGAAATGTTTACTTCTTTTTGTATCTTGCCTCCTAACAAAGTGAATGAAAATCTCATCATCTATGTTTTTAGGAAGTTTGCAATTCTTCTATTGGTGCCTTTGAAGAGGTTTAATAAAAAATATCAGATGGCTTTGTAATGAATGAGATTGAATCCTTGTTACAAACACATCGAAAATAATAATGTTGAACTATTGGTGGAAGACATGTAAATAACATAGATAGGCTAAAAAATTTGTAAGCATGGGTTATAAATAATGTGAATCAAACTCATAAGAGTGAGGTAAATGTTAATTGTATCGTGGAAGTAAAACGATTTTGCATCCATATTTTTGGCAAAAAAAACTATTCTTAAGTGTTAGTCAATATGCAAATATGTGATACTCCCTCCGTAACATTCATATCTTCCCACTTTCCTTTTTTGGACGTAACATTTATATCTTCCCATTTCTAAATCTTCCCATCATACCCTCAATAATTTAAAAAATAATACACTACCACACCTACTTTTTTTGGATTTATCCTTCATTCTATCACATTATTTCACCATCTTCCCATCATACCCTCAATAATTCATACCCCATTTCACTATTCTTAATCTCACCCACTTTGGAAGTGGGAATATATATGTGATACGGAGGGAGTATCATTTTAGGAAAAAGTAAAAAAAACCTACGAAAATGATAATTATACCTAACTTTTATGGACTAAAATGATATGATGTTGGGTAATTATTAGGGAAATACTCCGTATATTCTTACATGTTACAGCATAAAATATGCTCTGTGGCTAATGTAGAAAACTTGAAAGATCTACATGTATTTAGCCATGTTTTCAGCAAGACATACAGCCGATTAAAATAGTAGGTAGTATTAAATAATGGTAATAAGTAAAATCTGTTTTATTTATTCCAGTTCAAATTAACCACTCCTACTCATTTGCAGAGTGATTATTAATAGAAGATTGAGCAGCCAACTGCAAAAAACACTGGCAAACATCCTCCATCACTTTTATCACGGAAAGCTGGGTGTCAAGATCTCTGTACCTTTTATGATACGTATCATCCAACATTTTCACTACTGCATCTAAGCTAGGCATCTGGAAGTTGGGTATTCCAAAGGCAGTGTTGCAGTTCAGGCTCGCTTTTACATCTGCACAAGTCAGTGAAGCTATCTCTAAGCTGCAAGATTTGTCTGTCGCATTTGAAGTTCCACCTTTATTTGCTGATGACCCTGGCTCATTATTAGGCTTGACCAGTAAATGACCACCAACGCTCTTATTGGGTGACTGTGGATTGGCTGAAAGACGCTGTTTGCCCTTGCTTTTAAGATCCATTTGTCCATCACATGGCTGAGGTGGTCCCTGAAGAAGTGCATCCCCACCATCATCGTGCCTTGTCCGTGAAGTCCCACCAAGGCTAGACGGTGATGGTTGACCATCTTGCTGCCTCAAACGAAATCTTTTTAATGGTCTCTCGGGCTCTTCATTCAAAACCTCGTCTTCCTCCAAAGCACATTCCTGTGCAGCACAGATAGAAGATTTTGCGCGTCTTGCTTCCTCAGCTTCCTCATACTCAAAAATTGCATCCAAAAGGGATCTATAATTCTCCTCAATGAGATCCCAGTTTTTATTATACAACTTTAAAAGACGCTTCAATACAGGCTTCACCTTTTCTTCAGATATCCCGAGAACCTTGGTAGCACGGAAGGCATTTGCAATCCTTTTCCTAGAATCAGGACCCATTCCTAACTATAGCAGACTCACAGAAGAATCGGTTTGTCAGCCCACCTAATTCTTTCAGGAAATGGAACAGACTCTCTGAAGAACTTTGGGTGGTCACCGCTTCTCCACAACTTGAATCAAGTTCTCAATTAGCCAATGAGAGGAGTGTAGACATGGTTTGAGATGCTATGATTATCCCTCAGCCACCGTGAAAATTCCAATGGCCGGACAAGAAAGCATCTTACACTGATCTCAGTTGTACATTTGTACTGGAAAAAAAAAAGGATAATTATTAGGGAGAATTTGACTTTGCACCCCATGTTTTGGGTGATATTGGACTTTGTACCCTATTTTCAAAATCATTAATATTTGCACCCTATTTTACTATATAATCATTTGACTTTGCACCCACTCCTTCACAAATTTTGAGCTAATGAGGTGCAAATATTAATGATTTTGAATTTGGGGTGCAAAGTCTAATATCGCCTAAAACATGGGGTGCAAAGTCAAATTACCCCTTATTATTACACATGTTTTTAAAGATAAGAAAAAATATGGCTTTAACCATTAATCGAACTTATTTTTACAATACTTAAAGGTTAACAAATGCGAGGAATTTGACTTTGCACCTTATTTTCAAACTTATTAATGTATGCCCAGATCAGCCCAAAAATTATAAAGGATATGGGTGTTGAGTCAATTGATTTTATGTTGAATGGGGCAAAATTCAATATTACCCAAAAATGGAATACAAAGTCCTATAATATAATATAAGGTGTGCAATATTATATCATGGTAAATTTCAGTGACACTTAAGCTTATAAAAAAAGGACTATATCTAACTTAACATTTAAGTTTGCTAGTGATGTGAATGGTCTTTCGATCAACACATCTCAGTCAGAAGTTGCAGTTAAAAGTTTCTGCTGGTAACCTGGAGGAGTTGGCTCCCATTATGGATCAGTGTTTGAGGGCTGCAATTGAGAGGAATGTCTCTGAGTTAGTGATTGAGATGAATTTTAGGCCAACAACTTACTATAATATTCCGAAGGAAGTATTTGTCTCTAATTCACTAAAGGTCTTAGAGCTTCATGGCTGTAAGTTTGAGGATAGTTTTTCCTGCACTAATCTTCCACATCTACAAAAGCTCAGAACCGTGCGGTGCCTGTTTGCTGGTGAGAACGTCTTATCCAAGATTTTATGTGGCTGTCCTGAGTTGGAGTATCTGGAAGTTTTGATTTCTGAGGGCATGAGAAGTTCTATCTCGGTTTCATGTAAACCTAGATTGAAATATTTTTATATCGGGTGTCGCCACGAGCTCAAGAGGATTGAGATCTTTGTGCCCAGTCTTGAAACGTTAAAATGTTATTTTGCGTATTCATGTTCGATTGACTTGGCTAGTTGCACTCTTCTCAAACATTTGGAAATAAACCACGCTATCCTCTCTTCTGATTACGTCCCCATTCAGTATCTTTTATCTAACCTTCTCCAAATTGAAGAATTGCATTTGTCTAACTGTAAATCAGCTGACAAAATTCAAATAGCAAGTTCATGCCTCAAGAGACTTGTCATTACCGAGTCACACAAAAACTTTCCTGGTGCTGAACTTGACATCCCAAATTTACTTAGTTTAGACTTCTTTTCTATGGGTGAATGTAATACAAATAACCGGTTCAGTTCTTGGAATGTTCCCAAGGTAGAAGAAATTCACATGGCGTTTTCTGTTAAAAGCTTTCAGAGTGCTTGCAGGGGTGGACTGAAGGGGTTCCTTATGCAGTTACAAAATTATGAAGATGTGAAATTGATTATACAGTGCAGAGGTGAACAGGTAAGTCTCATTGACTTTTTAAGTTCTTACTTCACATGCAATTTTTGACGCGATATTCTCCTTGGGTCATTTGAATAGAGAAGGTTGTTCAATTTTCTGGACAAATTTAATTTACTGTATTCTTTTCTCTTTGAGGTTCTGGTCATCTGTGTAAGACTCATCAACATACAAGAAAACTGAGACGCATATAATTATACATGCAAGGTTTACTGTAACATCTTTGAGTGGTTCAATGGTGCTAAGTGACAAGGGCGCTCATCTAACTAATGCACACGATAGAAACTAGAAAGGTATTCAAACAAAGATCAGTTGAATATGGGAGATCTATATTTGGCGCCATATTCTGACTATCCATAGTTGGAAGTGAGAAGTCTATCCTTCTTTAATAAGGATGAGAACTTGAGCCCAATACTTATTTGGTCGGCTGTCGGTGGTAATTAATCAGTTGAATATGGGAGATTTGCATTTGGCGCCATGGCAGGCTGGTTCTGTTTGATCATCTTGCCCCTACTTTCTCATCCTAATCAGCCATTCAGGCTGCTTCTCATTTTTCTCCGCCATGTCAGGCAGAGGCCATGAAAGGACCGCTTTATTCATGTCCCAAACATTAACCTAGATTAAGTTCAGTTTCTCCATGTCCAAACAAGATAACCTTTCGTTTCCTGAAGGGGTGTTTTTGGGGGATGGGCTTAGACTATGCTCTCTTGGACTTATTTCGACCTAGACACATTGCATCAGACTAGACCACCATGATATAATACATAGTATATTACTCCCTCCGTCCCAGGGAGAAGTTCCCGGGTTGACTTTCCCACATATTAAGGAAAGTCAAACTGTTTGGCACTGTTTTGCACTGTTTAGCACTGATTTGATGTTGGATAACTTTCCATTTAGGGAAATGGGAACTTTTTGTTGGGACTGCCAAAAAAGGAAAGTGGGAACTTGTCCCTGGGACGGAGGTAGTATGTTATAGTATTCTTATTATAATGATCTATTTATTTGGACTAGAATTTTCTTGTCTAGTCTGGCCTACACTAGCTGATTTCTCTAAGTGTGGTATGATATGGTCCCTTAAGTTTTTCTATTTTGGTCTAGTCTAGTTATATTTTGGCCTTGTTTGGTAAATAGTTTATCAGCCAATTTTTGGCTCCTTGACCACAATTAATGATTTGGACTGTGTAAACGCCACATTTAAATATTTAATGTTTGGTAAATGGATGTCGATTTAGCTTATTGGATCCAAAAAGACTAAATTTGAAACGCTGGAATAGGCAGCGTTTACCATTGGCATTTCTGTTTTTGCTCTCTTTATTGTGCCTGTCGTTGAGAAATTTTTCCACTGGCTTCTGCAAATTCTTCATCAAAGTTTGTATTCTTCAGCTATCTAGAATTAGGGAGGGAGGTATGTATTTATATAAATTTGTATTCATTTCTAGTTTTTTTCTATTTTAGTTCCAAAGCTGCTCACTCTGTTTGTTCCCCCGGCTTCTTCTTCTATGTTTTTTTTTCTATTTCATATGATTAATTCCACCTCCCGTTCTGTGTATGAAGTCAACTGAACCCATCTCCGGTCCGCATAATGGCAATCAACAAAATGCTTCTGAAGGCGGACATCCTTGAGGTCCGGCGGTTCCATCAACCTATGATTGATTCAATATACCTGTTGCGAAAATTAGATTTGGAGCATCGTTTTCTCTTATGTCCTTTCCACTTTGTTTCAAAAACTGGCCCTGTAGAGCTAATGTTAATTGTATATATTAAGGCTGTATTGTGATTTGCAACTGTGATTTCAATAGAGGTTATAACATTTTGATAAAAATATACACAATGATCGGAAAGGTTTCCTGGGAATCTGGGATGGACTAGTGATCTACGTTCACTATTCCTAAAACTGTTAGTGTTGAGTTCGACCCACTTCATGCATGTGATCTGATGTTATTTTTAATTTATTTTGATAAAAAGATTCTATTGACTTTCTATTTTTTAATTTGTTTTGATCATATATTCTACTGAGTGGTGACTATCTAATAATTGTAAAGCCTGATGATCACAGATGAATCTTACTCCTTATTTAATTTGGCAATGGAAAAACATTATCTCAGCATATAGATAGAGTAAGTAAAAGCCAGTCTTGGAAAGAGCATAAGTCACCCTCCATAACAACGAAAGTGTATAAAAACTCAAAACTCGTGAATGTTATAAAATAATCCTGATGGAAGCTAAACACATTCACAATTGATTATATGGGTATTTATTTTATACTTCATATTTAATTAAAATAAGTATGTTTATTATTTTATTAGACGCATTCTAGTACTTGTTCATGTTTGTTGGTATTCATGTTATTTTAGAACGTGAATCCGTGTTATTTCAATTAATAAAAAATTAAGTTATTTTATTTGTCATATAGATTTACTCATCAAGTTTTAAATCTTCTAAAATACGAATGATTTGTACTCTATAATTTAATGTAGGTAACATTGTTTTATAAGTAATATCTAAAAAAAATAACATTCCTATACGTATTTTTACACTCAAACAGCCAATTTACCAAACAATTATTGACAATAAGCTAACATAATCAGCCAACTAAAACAGTTAACACAACCAGTTAACAAATAGCTAATTATTGTTAATAAGCTATTGTCAAACCACTATCATAACTAGCTAACAACTAACAGCTAGATTGCCAAATAAGGCCTTGATATTTTGTTTTGTTACTATGAAATGCAAGTCTTGTATAGTCTAGTTTGGTTTCGCAAATCTGTTTTGACCTAAGCCAGACTGGTATGATATGTTTTTATGTAATTTTATATTTTTATTATGGTGAAAGGCGATTCATTAATAAATATGTAATTTGTTACTTATATAGTTATTAAAATACAAAAAAAAAACATTTTTTAAATTAGTTTTTATAAGATTATTTCCATTTCAATTATCTTTTTTGGTCTAAAAAACTACTTCGTACGATAGTATAAGATTTTCAATATCGTTTGCATATACCTTCATTTTATGACCTATTTAAATAATACTCCTTAACATTAAAAAGTGTGAAGATGTGGTATTTAAATAACTACGATATGTATAATCTTGCAGTGCTATTAAAAATATATCTATAAAAATAAACTTCACATAATGCCAAATTAGAGTAGTTCACACCCGTCAAAACCAAGCTTAACCAGATCAAACCAGACAAGAGCAATTTAGATTGGACTAGACCAGAAAATTATATATTGCTCGATGAGCTAAACTTTTAGGCTGCAGTTGACTCTTTTTGTTATCCTTAGTCTCAAACTTGCTCTAATGAGAGTCATTAGTATCAGTAATAGTATTAATATTATCATTATCATGATTATGATCATGATTCTCGTATTATTACTATTACCTTTATTTTTTTATTATTATTGTCGTCGTTGTCGTTATTATAGTGCATCTAAAATTTATCATTGAATTTAAATACTATTTACAGGATCTAATTATGCATGAGAAACTGCACGCAGTTTCCTTTTCTTCTCTGAATAAATTCTTAAAAAAGGCAAAGCCAGAATTTTTGCTCATATCATCCAGAAGAGATGATTCGTTCTTGGCACGTATTTTGGTTTCTAGAGAAGACACTATTAGTCTATCCATGATATTTTCTTCTCGCAGAAGCATAGAGGTATTTGGTAGTTACTTTTAGACCTTTCATTTGATATGTGTGTGTGTGTGTGGATGGGAATGTGTTTCTGCTGCAGGACTGTTCTGAGTGTAGCTTATGTTTTTTACTTTTTAACCTGAATTTCAGTTGCTGCACGAGAAACTGTGCAATGAATCATTTCTGAAGCGTTAGTATAGGGAATTTGAGCTGATTTTTATCGAGGACATAGAGCATGAAGTGGACTCTGATGTGAAACACTTCATGAAGACCCAATCAACAGGTTACCACACTGCTAGAATAATCTTCATCAAGAAGAGTTTGATGGAAATGATCTGTTCAATGTAGCATGTGTTTGAAAAGCGCTAGGTGGTGGCCCCTGGCCGGGCATAATCAGGCCTACATGGGCCTAGAACAAGAAAAAACCTCTAGTGCAGCATGCTGCATTGCTGTTTATATTGACATCAATCAGATGATACTGCTGTCTGTAACTCTGGGCTCTTGCAATGACAATCCATTCTAAAAGGCGTTTAGATTTTTTACATTCTCTCCAAGTCGTTAGTTTTTTTATGACATATGTCCTCTGAGGCCTTGGTCCTTTTCTAGAACAATTTGCATCTTGGTTTTACATTATCAATCTTGTCAGGAGATATTAGAGCCCCTCTCCATTGGGGATGTGCATTGTGTAGGCAAAGATGGTCACAACCATATTTAATAGGGAAAAGGGGCAAAAATGACCCTAAACTTTTTTTGGGGTGAAGCTTAGGAATTACCTTTTTCAACAATTTAGGCACCTCCATGGTTCCATTTATGGTGCCGTTAGTTTTAACATGGGCCTATTACAAAATTAAAAATGAGTGAATTGTCTTCATCTTAAACAAAAAGGAACCAAAATGACGTAGGCTACGTAGCATGTTTTTAAATATTTTTAGGTCTTCATCAAACTAATAAGGTCACACGTGCACTCATGTCATTAATTATTTCATTTTGTATTTGCTTCTTAAATCTTGATAGATATATTAAAGGATTTATGATTTGCAGTAGGGAGGAATCTCAATTCACATGGGAAAAATCACATTTTCAGTATCTCATATCACACATTAAAATGTAGTTCTTGTATTTTCTAGTTTGAAAATGTCACCTCTTGGGCCTTAGTTCCTGAATTGTTATAAATGTGATCATAAACATTAAGAATGTTTTTACTTGGACCGGAAGTTGTTTGGCCTGGTCTGGTCTGTTTAAGTCTGAATTGGTCTGATCTGGTTTGATAAATGTCTGGTCTCGGACTTGGTTGAGTACTTCAAACTATTTTTTAGGATTCTTTTCCACTACTCTTTAGTTGGTAATATAGAGTGCCAAAATAGGATCAAATCTTTTAAATTTTCAAAATAGGAGTTTCAATCCCTTTTCACATTTATTTTTGGGGAAATTTCTAAAATAAGAGTGAAAACATTTTGTAATTTTAAAATAGGATTGTCACATTTTTATTCCTTAAATAGGAATAATTATTATCAAGTTTGAAAAATACTACAAAGTTTAAAGCCTTATAGTGTCAATTCCTGGTATTAATTACTGTCATTTAGAAAATAAAATATGATAGTTCTATTTTGAAATTCACAAACGTCTTTATTTCTATTCAGGACATGTTTTTATGTATTGTTACTCTTTCATTTGTATTCTTCCTTCTTGTCTCGGCACATAAGCCATTTTCTTTTCTTTTCTATATTAAGCTAATTTCATTTCTCTTGCTTATTTTTTCCCTCAACTCTAGCCATTAGTGTCCATGTATGTCCACATCTTACGAGTAGATATTGATTTTTGAGAAAAGGATCAAATAAACTCTCGTACAATTTGCGATTTTGTAATCAAGTGCTTGAATCAGAAGACTATCAAATATACCCAAAATGAAGCAATCAGATCCATTTTGAATTGCAAGTCTTCAGGTTCATGGGTCCGATTGCGAAATCACAAATAGTTCGAAGACTTATTTCCCCCATTTCTCTTGATTTCCCCCCAAGTATATACAAATGCCAGAAATTCATTTCCATGCCTAAGTAACGTAGTACTACTTCAAAAAGTGTAGCTCAAATGATATGAAAAAAGAAAAGAAGCAAATTGAAACAAACATACTCGTAAATTTTAAGGGAGTAAAAAAGATAAAGAGGACTTATATTATTTGCTAATGTTATTTATAGTATATGTTCATTACATATGTAGATAAAATTAGTCCCTTTTGGGCATGCAAATATGAAGTTATCTTGAACCCTTAACTTAAAATGATGTGATCCTTCAATAATTTATTATTCTCACACAAAATTCTTAACTACTCCCTCTGTTCGGGTAAATTCTCTCGGTTTTGACCAGTATCACAAATTTATGCAAAAAGTTGGGAGGGTTGACTTTCCCATTACACCCTTGGCCGAATGGAGTAAAGAAAGGGGTAAAAGGTGAGGTAAAAAGTTTAAATTGGATAGAAATGATTAAAAGTAGAATTGATTGACATGTGAATAGTAAACACTATTCATCCCAGCCAAATTGTGCATAGCTTAAAAGGAGGGAGTTCAATTTATAGTTCATTACATATACTCCTCTCTCCTCACAATTACACCATACACTCCACACACACGAACACTTACAGCATACACTCCACCCACACACACACTAAAAAAAACTGGCAGCTTTTATACTTGGTTCATCTTCCACAGCTGCATCTTCTTCCACATTTTCTTCATCGTCCACACTTCCTTCTGCGTCTTCCACACCAGGATCCCTAGACCTAGAAATCATAGCATTAACAGATGATGAGGGTGATGTAGTGGTTAAAAAAGGCTTTCAAACACTGAAAAAGATAGCATAGCAGATGCACTCCTAATGTCCAGTTGGAGGATTTTTTTTTTTTTTTTTTGGGGGGGGGGCTTGAAAGCTCAGAAAGGTATTTTCGTTATACTTGCTGAAAAGTTTGAAGTGTCCAAAACAACTATTTCTGGCATTTTGGAGACAATAAAAAAACAAGTTGTAAAAGGTGATGCAGTAGATGCGCGTAGGAAGCGGCCTAGTAAATCTGGCAGAAAAAGGATAGAATTTGATCTATCTCACATATCACAGATCCCACTGCATAAAAGGACTAACATAAGGTCATTAGCAGCTGTCACCTCAATTTCAAAGTTTAGTATCCACAGATTGGTTCACAGAGGTAAGCTCAGAAGGCATCCAAATGCAATAGTCATTTTTAAGTGATGCAAATAAATTGCAAAGAAAGTTTTGTCTTAGGCGGGTTGAGGAAGTCAATGCCACAGAATCTTACTTTTCAATCATTTTAGAATGTTATTCACATCGATGAAAAATGGTTTTTCATGACAAAAACTTCTCAAAGATTATACATGGGGTTGGAAGAGACTGATCCACACGGAGTATGCAAATCTAAGAGGTTCATAACTAAGGTAATGTCCCTAAGCGCAGTGGGTAGGCCCCTATTTTCAGAAATTGGTGAGGTGATTTGGGATGGGAAAATAGGCAGGTTTCCATTTGATGAACAAGTTGCAGCAAAAAGAAGAAGCAAAAACAGGGATGCAGATGTTATGGAAACCAATCCTATCCTTAGCATAACAAAGAAAGTGTTCAAAGACATGTTAATCAACACAGTCATCCCAGCAATCAAGGAAAAATGGCCTCCATAGTTAAGAAAAGAAATCATAATACAACAAGACAGTGCAAGGTCACACATTTCACATACCGATGCAGAGTATATGGCTGCTTCCATGGCTAATGGGTTTAGTATCACCCTTACTAACCAGCCACCCAATTCTCCAGACCTTAACATACTAGACCTAGGGTTGTTTAGGGCAATACAATCATTGAAAGACCAGAATGGACCTAACACAGTTGATGAACTGTAACACGCAGTTGATGATGCATTCAAACAACTATCACCTATGACTCTCAACAAAGTATGGCTAAGCTATCAGTATGTTATGATTGAATTAATGAAAGTGCGGGGAGGGAACAACTACAATATACCACACAATGCAAATGATAGGATGCACTCAGAAGGGAGACTTCCAATTACTATCGAGGTAGATGTTAAACTTTTGGAAGCAATAGAACGGATTGTAGGGCAAGAAGCAGGGGTTACTGAAAATCAGGGGAACTTCATAATTGAAGACGACGATGATGATGATCATCTTCAGTGATGAAGTACATGTACTGCCATGTTTTGGGATATTGGGTTTAATAGTATAGGCCTTAAATTTTTTGTTTTTTTGTACATGCCTTGATTGTTAAGGATATAAGAATAGGCAGTCCTTTTGTACTACTTCAAGGACAGACAAACATTTAGAAGTAGTACAAACATGCTCAGACCTTTTGTGCTAGTGGAAGCATACTCAGACCTTTTGTACACGTAGAAGCATACTCAGACATTTTGTAGAAGTAGAAGCATACTCAGACATTTTGTAATAGTAGAAGCATACTGAACTACCAATAGTCATAATTATTTCATCATTTTGGTACAATAACATCATACTCAGACCTTATGTACAACTACTATTACAACATACACTCCACACACAAAAACTGGAAGACATTGTTTATGCTCATCATAGATTGACCAATGTACCAGATCACAGGCATATACTCATCACAGATTGATTAAAGTACCAAATCACAGACCTATGATAATCACAATATGAGTAAAGTACCAAATTACAGCCATATGGTCATCACAGTATGCATAAAGTACACCATATAACAGGGTCATGGTCATCACAGTATGCATAAACTACCATATCACAGGGTCATGGTCATCACAGTATGCATAAATTACCATATCACAGGGTTATGGTCATCACAGTATGCATAAACTACCATATCACAGGGTCATGGTCATCACAGTATGCATAAACTACCGTATCACAGGGTCATGGTCATCACAGTATGCATAAACTACCAAAATACTTTCATATGATCATCATAGCATGCATAGACTACCATATCACATGCCTAATTCTTTCATCATAGCATACCACACATAATGAACCAATACACAGACCTACTTTCATCACAGTATGCATAAAGAACTAGTACACACAAGTAGTGGCGGACCCAGAAAGTCGGAGCCACGGGTCCCTACCCTTTTATATCTCTAATCTCTAATTACGGAGTAATATAAAACTAATAAAAAATATTAAAGAAGCATAACACCTCATAGTTAACGTACACCATCAAAACATTAAAGTATTATAAAGCAAAGAAATACATATAAAAATCATTCAACAATTCTACAGATGTACCCTCCTAGTCCTAGGTTTCATTTGTTGGAAATATAGAATCATCACTAATAGTTTTGGTCTATTTAATTAAAATAGGCCAAAACGACGTAGTTTTGGTTTATTTAATTAAAATAGTTTTGGAAAACAAAAAAGGAGCCCAAAATACATTAAGGTATTATAAAGCAAAAGAATACATATAAAAATCATTCAACAATTCCAAAGATGTACCCTCCTAAGCTTCATTTGTTGGAAATATTCTATAATAGAATCATCACTAATAGTTTTGGTCTATTTAATTAAAATAGGCCAAAATGACGTAGTTTTGGTCTATTTAATTAAATCAGTTTTGGAAAATAGAAAAAAGTTTGTTGGAAATATTCTA